CCCCAAAACCCCAAAACCCCAAAACCCCTTATCATCCTTCTAATCTGGAGATCTTATTTATTATAATAATATTAAAATGAAGAAGGAAATTCTTATTTTATTAGCAATCTTCGTGCTCACTTCAGAAGCTCGACTTAGAGATCTGAAGATCAGCACTGGAGCTAGTAGCTCCATGGGAGGCTCAAGTACGAGCAGTTCAACTTCAGGAACAACAGCAGGCACTGGAGGAGTAGGACAGACTGGTGCTAGTTCAGGAAGTGGACTAGATTCAGGAGAAAGTGAGTGAGAAGGAATTGAATTTGATTGAGAGATATTGCCTAGGCTTGTCTTAGTAGGGATATTTGGAGGTCTTTTCTTGATTGCATTCTGTGTTTGATGATGTATTTGAATGAGAGGAAAGTGGAAATGGTTCTGTAAATGCCTTTTCTGTTGTTGATGCAGTAGAGTTTTAAAATGATGTTGGAGATTAAGGTGTAAATGAAAATGAAAGAAAAGTAAAAATTCAAAAGCACAGCCTAAAATCGCTCCATACAATCAAAATAATTCTCATAATCCTCCAAAGAACATTCAGACCCAAATAAAAGCTCCTAAAATTCCTTTCCAACATCCAAACCTCGCTTCAAAACCCACATTAGAAATTCCTCCCGATCAGCCACGAACAAACTGCCTAAAAATCTCCAACCAAAGTTCTCAATCCCCAGATCTTGAGAGTTCAACTATCTATTCTCAAGCCAAATCTAGCCCCCTACAAATCTTTGCTTAACTTGAACTCCTAAATTCCCAATAAGATCTATTAATCCACTTCTTTACACAAAATTTTTATTTTTAAATAAATTTATAAATCATAACACCATTAAAACCATCCAAAAAGGTCAGAAGGCAAATAAAACACTAGCAGAACAAACACAAAAATTCCTATACAAAAACACTAACAGAACCAATTCCTTCTCCCCATCCATCTCAACCCCTCCCATCCCAGCTCCTCCCTCACACCCCTATACCCCTCAGTTCCTCCCCACCCACCTATTCCTAACCCCATTTATCCAATTACTCCTCCTCACCTATCCTCTCTCCTGAACCCCAATTCTCTTAACCTAGGTGTATTCGTACTTTAGCAGGGTTTAAAAGTTGACTGAATTTATAACTTTTGAAATTTTTGAAATTGAATTTAAAGTGGGGTTTTGGGGTTTTGGGGTTTTGGGG